CGTTTTAAAATACAAAAAATAAAGTTGCTGTAGACTGAGTTTAAAACACATTTTTTCACTTAAAAAAAATAATTTATGCTTAGAAACATAAAAATTAATAATATTTATGTATCAATTGATAATTTTAGACGTGAAAATAGCAGCCATTTCACAGGCACTTTAATGTATATTGGCCTACCCTCTTTAAACAAAGTGTTAAAATTAAAATAAAAAATAGTAACCATTGTCAAGACTCAGCCATCATTGTTTACCACCTTGATACATTCTGGATGGACTGAATGTTCCATAATGATTTATTTTTCTCTTGGTGTATAAATAAACCTAATTTTCTGTTATTTTCAGTAATTTCCAGTCCATATGCAAGTCTAATTCCAGCCAGATTGGGATTTGCATTAATTGTACATGAGTACCCAGATACTGTGGTAAGTCAACACCCATCAAGAAAGCTTGAAATACGAATTTATCTAATCAAGTAGAATCTAATCTAATCAAGCAGAATCTAATCTAATCATATTGAATCATGTGTCCAATCAGACACTTAAAATTTTGTCTTCAACTGATGAGAAATTTGTAAAAAAAATGCAATACTATTTTCAATGCCCAAAATTTGTTTGTTTGAATTTCATTTGCTAACATTTTGAATGGTGTTCAAATGTTTATGTTGCTGTAATACGAAACACTGCTCAATCCACGGAATCTATTAAATATTTCAAATAATATTCTCATGACTCAAAAAAAAAGCTTTTAGATGCAACCAAAACAATATCTGTATATAATTAAATGGAAATGGATAAATTGAAGCTGAACAAATCTGGCAGACGTCTTTAATTGCATATGAAAGCATTATATATATGTACAATATTATTAAATATATTACTATAATCATAAATCAGTTTCTGTTTATTTGTTTTGTTAGATCCAACTTTTGCAAGCTCTCTACCGACCACATTTCTTTTTCTGTGTACATGTTGATCAGAGAGCAGAAGAGATTCGACAAGTGAGTGTCAATTCGTTATATGGTGTTTCCCCACACACTGTTGTCACATTATCTCTGAGGCAAGATTCAAGGAAACTGCACCATCACCTAGCAACCGCTGTCCTCACATCTGAGTGTTTCCAGGGCATGTTCTGATTATAGATCTGCAATAATAACTTTACAATAAATAACCTCTGTAATTTCTTTTTTTCTTTTTCTTTGACTGTTGTTCTATAGGACCTCATAGAAAGGACCCAGTCTTATAAGAACATTCACATATTACCCAGGCATAGGTCATTTGTTGCATCATGGGGTTCATATGAGATTGTAAGAGCAGAATTGGAGGTAAGGAATAACATACTATTATATAGACACCCTATTTACTGTACAACCTATTGTAATACTGGTACATACAAATAAATTACTTATGGAACTTTGGAAACATGTTCGGATAATCCATAATTCGGATAATCGGTGTTGGGATAATCGAGGTTTGACTGTAGCTACATGTAATTTTAGCAAATTTGAATCAATGCAAGAATTAACAGAATCTTAATTTAAGTGCCAACAATCTAATTGTGAAAATATACTTTATTTTAAATCTGCAACATCTTGAATTAGTGGAAATTGCAGATTAGGTAAAACAACATGCTAGTTGAAAGACAGGTTTTACAGTAAATTCTAACATACCAGCTTTATAAAGCTTGTTTGTAGTGGTTGATTACTCAACTGTGATGCCATCTGTTTCAGAAAAACTACAACAATAACAAAAAATTTTATTAAATGCTGGTTTAATTTATTTATTATTTTGTATTTGACTGATTATAGAAGTATAAACAAAAGGGTTTCAATTTTATTTTGAGACCTACAAAATAAATGTGATACTCCCATCTCATTTTCCAGTATTACAAGTAATATGTAAGATAAAAAGAAAACCTTTTTGTTCATACGCAATCAGAAAATGATGACTTATGGATTGATCTCTGTGCATCCATTCATGTGTTCATCAGTTCATCTGTTTAGACCTGTATCTTGGTCATGCATTGGCCAATCACATTAAAACTTCATACACACATACAAGGTTCCAAGATTTCCAATGTATGTTCTAAGTTTGAACAAAATCCATACAGGATCAAAATCTAAAAATAAAAGAAATGCAGGTTTTTGATGAACTGTTAACATTTGGCCATCTTGAATCAGATTATGAAGCGAATTTTGTTCTACAGATCAGATTCAAAATGGCCAACTGGTGGCCATTTTGTTCAAACAAATGCTGTATATATCTCTGACATGTCTGATCATTTTCAAACTTTATATACCAGGGGTTATACATAATTATGTATATGTATATATCATCATATTCAAGATGGCTGCTTGGTTACCGTTTTAATGTTAAAAATATATCAAAATCAAGCATTTCTGCCATTCCTAACCCAGATCTTGTTTATACATGGATAGCTATTGTTCATCTTGGTACTTACATTGAACTTATAACATGACCTTAGATCAGATTAAAATTAGCTGAAAAATAGCACCATGTCTCTGACATACATTGACTGATCACAATCAAACTTTACAATATAATCGTCATATGATTTGTTTCATGTTCTGATTGAAGATGGCTGACTCATTTCAGTTTTCTTTACCATTGAACTAACAGGGACTATGTCATGACATAACTCATTCAATTTAAAGTCACAATGTATGTTGATAGATTAATGGTTTATTTTTATTTTCTGTTTGTTAGTGTTTTGAAGAACTATTACGAATGGGAGCCTGGGACTTTGTTATTAATCTAAGTGGCGCTGATTTACCAATAAGGAATGTAGATGACGTGGCTGCATTGCTGGCACCAGCTAGAGGTAGGTAGTTCCTGCAAGACGGAGCAGTTTTCTGCAAATGTATTGGAAATTCAACAGTTGAGCAGATGTTGTAAGTAGACATATGTCAACAGCTGCTGGTTACATGTAGCCTACTAATTAGCACCCCCCAAAGGAAGAGGCATTAGCCATTAAACTCTGCAGTAGATTAGACATGACATCATAATGCTGCACCTG